CCTGGGTGACCGCTGGGTTTATCACCTTTCTATTCCAACGTCAGTTACAAGTTCCAGGCTCTCCTCGTTACTTACTTTCCTCATTGCTGAGACAAAATACTCAACACTCATAAGTTAAAGAAAAGGTAGAAGAAAAGAACTAAGGGGGGAAAAAGGGACAGAAAATGTATTGTTGCTCACAGTTTCCAGGGGTTTCAGTCTATAGTTGGTTGGCCCCAAGGAAAGGTATCATGGCAGAGGGGCATTGCAGAGGAGAACTAGTTCATGTTGTGGCAGGCAGAAGGCAGCAAAGCAGCAAGCCCCCTTCTTTTTGTCCTTTTATAATCTATCTAGGCTCCAAACCCACTGTTTGGTGCCACCCATACCCAGGGTGCAGCTTCCATTATCCACACCTTTGTCCACATTCACACACCCTAATCCAGCTGCCTTTGAAACTCCCCACCTATGACCATGAGGCTTTGGGGGAAGTCCACATATAAGCCCTAATACAGATACAGAGGGTTCTTCATGAAGCAATTCGAAATTTATTTTAGGAACAAAAGAATACCCCAAACTCAGGCTTTTTGAGATTGTATTTTGATTGGAATCACCTTAAAAGAGCAGAAACATGTAGCCCTGCAAGTTAGACTTCAAATAAGGACAACTATGAGGGAACAACATTCTTTCTCATTTGGTGAAAATATTTCAATGTGAAAAAGCCAAAATAGAAAAATAGGGCTGGGGAGATAGCTCAGTAGTCTGGCAAGTGCAAGGTCCTGGGTTTGATCCTCAGTAGAAAGAAAGAAAGAAAGAAAGAAAGAAAGAAAGAAAGAAAGAAAGAAAGAAAGAAAGGAAGGAAGGAAGGAAATAGGAAAAAAAAAGAAAAGAAAAATAGGCCCACAAAGTTAATTAGCAGGACACTGGTTGCTCCTCAGTAAGGTGAGTTAAAACAGGAATCTTCTAGCTGGCGAGGTGTTACACACCTATAATCCAGCACTCCTGGAGGATGAGTCAGAAAGATAACCTTGAATACCAGGCTGGCCTGGGCTACATAAAGAGTTCAAAGCCAGAGTGAACTATAGAGTACATTCAGAGACAGAATGAGACTGTCTCAAAAACTGAAACAAACAAAAAACAGATAAACCTGAGCCAGGCATAATGGTGGCGCACACCTGTAAATTCAGCACTCAGAAGGCTGAGGCAGAAAGATCACAGCGAGGTTAAGGCCAGCCTAAGCTACATAGTGGGCTCAAGGCCAGCCCAAAGTACATAGCATGACTCTGCCTCAAAAAACAAACAAGTGGGCCGGCCAAATAGTTCAGTGGATTAAAGCACCTGCAAGCAGGCACAGGGGCTGGGGATTCAATTCTCCAGCCTAATGCCCTGTCCCCACCCCTGGGGTGCACTGAGATGGCAATTGAGACTGGGTGTGGTGGCACACCCCTGTAATCCCAGCTCTGGGGAGCCTGTAAACAGGTGGATTACTAGGAGTCCAATCTAGTAGTGAGACCCTGAACACCCTGTATGCCCTACCCTAAAATACAAAAAAAAGATGCATATGATTATCTATTAAGTGATATAAAATCAATTAATCTAATTTTAGTTATTTTCCTCCTCTCTAACCTAATCTCAAATTAGAAGTTTTCAGTAATCACAGAGCAAGAATAATTTCCATATTTAAAATGATACACTTAAATTGTTGGAAATGTTTAGAAGGTTAAATGATTAACTAAATGAACAGTATTTTCTTGTTAAATCACATAACGTAAAATTAATGTTACTTTCAGATATCCAAATGAAAGATACAAAACACTGAGCATAATTGTAGTCGCTTTCATTATCTATAATTATGGAAAAGAAAGGGTAATCCAAATAATGAAAAATCGGTGTATATTTCTGGAACAGAAGAGGACTGTCAATTCTTCTAAAATTAAGGCATAAATGCCACTAGATCTGCATGAAAATTAGAATTTTTAGTGGGTAAAAGGATTTTAAAGTTCATATGTAAAACTAAATTTAAGAAAATAAGGCCCAGGAAAAATTAAAGAAAAGCAATGAGGGGATAATATCTCTTTCTAGATATTAAAACTTACTATAAAATCTACTATATAGTATCTATGTGGTAAGAGACAGGTAGTAAAACAAATATTGGAGAATTCAGAAATGGATTCAAGAGCTGGGGACACAGCTTGGTGGTCTAAGCACCTGCCAGACAAGCAGAAGAAGCCGAGTTCAATCCCTGGTACTGCATGCCACGTGGGCCCCCAGAGGGTGCGTGGTGCCAGTCACCGAAACCAGGTGTGGTGGCATATGCCTGTAATCCCATTGCTTGGGAGGCTGAGACAACAGGATCATTATGAGTCTGAGCTGTGTAGTGAGACGCTGTATCAAAAGAATAAAAATAAAAATACCAAAAAAAAAAAATAGATTCAATAGCACTCGAGAGGCAGAGGCAGGAGGATCACCTTGTATTTGAGGCCAGCCTGGGCTACAAGGTGAGTTCAAAGCCAGCCTGAACCACATAGTGTTCAAAAAGACAAGAAAGGGCCAGCCAAACAGCTCAGTGGATTGAAGCACCTGCAAGCAGGTGCAAGGAAGGCTGGGGCCCGGGCCTGCCTTGCCGGCCCCGCCCCCCAGGCGCCCTGAGACAGCAATTGAGACTGAGTGTGGTGGCGCGCACCTGTAATCCCAGCTCTTGGGAGGCTGAAGACAGGCAGATCACTATGAGTCTGATCTAGTAATGAGACCCTGAATGCCCTGTAGATCCTTCCTTTAAAAATACAGAAAAAAAAAATTTAAGGCAAGAAAGAGAGAGACAGAGACAGAGACAGAGTCAAGGAAATATAGAAACTTATAAAGATCTTATTGCAATTTAGTTTTAAATAAATGGTTTTCCATTTGAAAAAAAAGTTGTAGGTCTAACTCACACTACAGTTTTAAAATTCTAAATAAGGATTACAGTTTTAAGTGTGAAAATCTCAAGACTAACTAGAGAAAATTTAAGAGAATCAATGGATAAACTTAGAATACAAGACTTTTTAAGTAAGACTGTAGTGCCAATAACACTGCCTCTACTCCTCAGGTACATTTGAGCCCCCAGATTCTTTTCATTAGTCCACATTGGTAGTACCTGATGTGTACATTCCTTGTGTGGAGTTGGCCCACCCACAGACCACAGCCCAATTCCTTTGTTCATCCCCTTCTCTCTCCCCTCCACCTCCTCTGTCTCTTGAGCCCCTTCCAGTTTGATAAAGCTCTATCTCTCCTTCCTATTACCTATCTTTTATTTTTATCTTTATTTCTAATTTGGGTCTCTCATATTAGGGAATCCATGTGATACATAAACCTAGCTTTCTGATTTATGTCACACAATATTATGGTCTCTCTGCGCGTGGTTGGGCACGCCTGTAAGCCCAGCACTCAAGAGGCTGAGGCAAGAGGATCGTCTCAAGTTTAAGGTCCTCCTGGGCTACGTAGTGAGGTCAAAGCCAGCTTAAACTACACCATGAAACCCTGTCTCAAAAGGCAGTAGCAACAAAAATTATGGGTTCAAGGTGCATCTGATTTCCTACAAAAGGTTTGAGTTTAGCCTTGTAATGGCACGAAAATACTCCACTGTGTGTAAATACCACATTTTCTGATCCATACGTATCCACAGAAAACCCTCTATAATACATTCAATGCTAGGGGGCCCCTTTAGAAAAACCTGTGCAACTGAAGAATACAGTTGGCACTCCTCCCATCTTAACCTTAGAATTGTTTGTGCTCTATAGATCTTGCTTTTTGGCTTTTCCTTCTTGAACTAATTTTTGGACTTTGTTGAATTAATTGATTTATTTATTTATTTTCTTTCTTGGTACTGGGAATCAAACTCAGAAGCTTAGGCTTGCCAGGCAGGTGCTGTGCCACTGAGCTATATCCTTGGCCTTGAATTTCATTTTATTTGTATCTTTGTTTTCTTCTTTATTGTATTAGTTTGGTTTTGTTGTGTTGTGTTATTTTGTGGTCCTAGAGACTGAGCCTGGGGCCTCATGCATGCTAGGCAAGTGCTCTACCATTGAGCTACATCCCTATCCTATTTTTATACATTTTCAAAAGCTTTTTACTGTTATAATTGGATGGCTGACTTGTGTTTTTAAGCCTTTTTTCTAGTATAAACATTAACACTATAAACTTCTCTTACAGTACTGCTTCTTATAAGGTTTGGTATGGAATTTGATCATATCATGACTTCCCTTTTGCCTGTTTTTATTTAGACATGACTTTGTTAATTTCCCAACATCTGACATTTTCAAGACAGTTTTTTTTCTGTGTGTGTGTGTGTGTGTGTGTGTGTGTGTATGTGTGTGTGTGCACGTACACGCGCATGTGTGGCTGGCTTAGCCTGCCCTGGGGGCGGGGCTGGCAGAGCATGTGGTGCTGGGGATCGAACTATGTCCCTATGCTTTGCCTAAGCAGGCACTTTAGACCACTGGGCTATCCCACCTGTCCTCAAGACAGTTTTTATTGAAATTCTACATAATTGTAAAGAATTATGGCCAGGTGTGGCAGCACACACCTGTAATTCTGAGGCAGGAAAACTGCCAAAAATTCAAGACCAGGTGGGGTTGCACAGTGAGTTGAAGGCCAGCCTGAACTGCGTAGTAAAACTGTCTCAAAACATTATGTAAATCAAAGCACATACCCCAATGATTTTCACAAAATGAATTTCCCCATGTACACGATATCTGAACAAGATAAAGACTATTATTAGTTCCAGATGCCTCGAGCATGTCCACATCAAATCACCACCTTCCCTGAAAATAATTATTCTTTCTTTTATTACCAACAGTTAATTTTGTGTATTTTTAGATTTTATATCAACAGAATCATACAGCATAGTATCTTTTGTATGTAATGTCTTTCACGCTTCAACGTGCTTGACTTATCTATATTGTGTCATGAATATACAACTCAAGAGATATTTGTGCTCTTTTTAGTGATTGATTTTTATGAATAGTGATATTAATACTTCATAAGCTAAGGTGTGCTTAGAGTAGGTGGCCTGAAGTATGGCTTCTCTGCTTACAACACACCTAACAGGAATTTAGGGTCATTGTGACAAGGGACTCAAAACTTGTGACTTCCCTTTGAGCAAATGTCACACGCATGTACTCCATACACTTCCACATGGCTTCTCGATAGTGCCAATGGGACAAGGTTCTACAGTGTTTAGTGAGGGAAGAGGACATCTTGAGCCAGTCCACTGTATCCATGGGTGATCTCTTTGTAGTCCTAAAAGTAAAGACTGTATTTCTATTTTCAACAAATTTTTTAAAAAATAATGGGGCTGGTGAGATGGCTCAGTGGTCTAAAGCACCTACTTAGAACAAGCGTAGCAAAAGCAAAGGGACCACGGTTCAATCCCCCAGCACCACATGCCAGCCAGCCCCGCCCCCTGGTGGGCTGAGCTGGCCACACACACACACACACACACACACACACGAATAAATAAAATTTAAAATAAATAAATAAATAAATAAATAAAAAATAACAATTCTTCTTTCACAAAAATACCTTATAAGCATTTCTGGCAAGTATACACATAAGAGTGAAATTATGGGTTATAACTATTTTTATGTTCAGTTTTAGTAGAAACTGCCTATTTTCCAATGTACTTGTACAAATTTCCAACCATTTTACCAGTACCAAAGAGTAAGAGTTCTTGGTACCTGTTAACACTTGTGTCTAGATGTCCCCCAAAGCTTCATGCAGTCACAAGTGGGACTTTTTTTGCAGGTTTGGGAGACTGAAAAACAAGAAGGATCACTACAAGTCCGATCTGTGTAGTGAGACCCTGGAGACCTGGTACTAAATACATTTTTTAAAAAAGAAAATGAACAAGATTTCACATGTGTTTTGTTTGCACAGCACATCTCTGGAAGGATACATAAGAAACCAGTACCAAGAGTTGTTACAGAGCTAGATATGATGGTGCACACCTGTAATCCCAGCACTCAGGAGGCCAAGGCAAAAGAATCACCATGAATCTGAGACCAGCCCAGGCTAGATAAACAAGTTCAAGGCCAGCCTGCACTACATGGTGACACCCTATCTCAAAAAAAAGAGTTGTTACAGAAGTTCCTTATATTGGAAAGGCTCTGCCCTCCACAGACCAGCCGCTTCTTACCCTTCCCCATCCTATTCTGTCCCAGACTCACATCCCTGCCCTATGATATGCAAGTTTAGCCCAGGAAGATCCTGGGGAAGAGAGTGACACATCAGTATGTGTTGTCACAGCTCCCTCCTGTCTGGTGACCAGGATGACCTATGTATTCCTTGTGGAAAGACCATGGTGGGCCGGGGAGGTGGCTCAGTGGAATAAGCACTTCCCTGGCAAGCGCAAGGGCCTGAGTTCAATCCCCGGTTCCGCAAAAAAAAAAAAAATCTTGGGGGCCGGGGAGATGGCTCAGTGGAATAAGCGCTTCCCTGGCAAGCACAAGGCAACTGATAGAGCAGAGAGAGGTGGAGGGGGTAAGAGGGAGACAGAATAAGACATTGGCTCACATGATGTGGAGGCTGAGAACTCCTAAGATCTGCAACTGTGACGCCAAAGAGCCCCTAGGCAGCTCAGTCTATATCAGAGGCCTGAGGAGCAGGAAATCCAAGGATGTGAAATGTATCCTCAGAGCCAGGTGGCTGCTAGAGATCCAAGACCAGTCAACATTCCATCCCTGTGCAAGAACTGGCAGACCAAGGTGTTGGCCCCTGTCCAGCAGGATGAATCCTCCTTTATGTGATACCTTTGTTCTTTTTAGGTATTCAGTTGATTGGAGCCCACCCACATTGAGTGGCACCTGCTTTACTCAGTGTTCCAGTTTATATCCAGATGTCCCCTTAGGTATTCAGAGATGGGGCTTTAGGGAAGTGACTGAATCACTGGGTTGTGATACTCATTGGTGGATTCCTCCACTGAGGAGTTTATAGCTCCATATGCTCTTAGGAGGTGGGGCCTGTTGGAAAGAGGCAGTCATGGGTCCTGGATGGATTGATCTCCCTCCCAGATCCTCCCTTCATGATCTGCTTCCTGGACACCATGAGGTGAGTTTTCTTCCACAGGCCCTTGCACCAGGCCTTCCATCCTTGAAGCCAATCAACTATAGACTAGAAATGCAAATGAAATTAACTTGTCCCACTTTTAGTTGTGAATGTCACATGTTGAGTCCAAGTGATGAGAAAAGTGAATGGGACAATCTACCAATGCTTACAGTAATCTCTAGGAACATTCTCAGATACACCCAAACTCATGTTTGGCCAAATGTCTGGGCAACAATGGTCCAATAACCTCTCTTATAGCTGTAGCAAGATTTCCAGTCTTGGGTCTGGAAATCCATGCAAGCCTAGAATATTATTTACCAAAATCTGTATGTTTGTTGTCCCCAAAGGCCCATATGTTAAAAGCCTGGAGTCTTGGGAGGTGCTGTGGACCTTTGAAAGCTGAGGCCTGGTGTGACATGTTCAGGTTATTGAAGGTGGGGGCCCTTGACAGAGATGGGAGAGCCCACCTACCCACCTCTCTATCTGAAACCAAAGTAATGGGTCACCCAGTCTTGGGTTTGAACCCCTGACATGTGAACCAAAGTAACATTTTCTCTCTTTATTGCTGCTGTGGCCAACATGGCTCTCAAACTTCCTGGGGTGAGGACCACCATGTTCTCTGGGCTGGAATGCCTGTTTGCTCAGGTGCTCTGCACCACTGGGGCATTCCTCAGGCACTCCATACTCTCAGCTCCACATGTATGAATGATCTCCACCTCAGCCGCTCCCACTATCCCCCCCTTTTCTGTTTTTGTTGCAATCAATGAGTGTTCACTTGAAGTTGGAGAAGCTGTTTTGGAGGCCTCTGCAGATGATTTTCTTTCTTGTGGTTATACTTTTCTGCTGGATGTTCAAGACCAAGTTAAAATGAGACCTATATTAATCAAAAGTAATTTTTTTGCTATCTATCAAGGTCAGTTAGCCTCCTCAGGATTTATCTTGGAACCGTGCATTGCATTTTTCAGTACTGTCAGTGTCAGCCATCTGAATGAGTCTCAGCCATTGCTTGACCAACTTGCTTTCTGTGAAAGCTTGGGAGACTTTTCTCTCCTGGTGACTCTCCTTCGGCACACTGTACACCACTGAGCACTGTCCTCCTTGGTTAGGAAGACCAGGGACTCATCAAGTTACAGGATATCAAACAGAGATTCTCTTATGTCCTGGGTCCTCACTGACCTCGGAGGGCTAAGGTCAAAATATTGGCTGTCATCCTAGCCCATCTGTTTTCTTATTTTTGGTCTCCAAATCTCAGTTGTTGAACATCTAGAGAGGAAGGTTAATGATGTTACATTGTAACGGGAGCAGTGAGTTTAACATAATAATTTTATCTGAATATCAAGCACTTTGAGATACAAAGTAGAGCCATTATTTCCACTTAACCATGGATGTTCTAGTAGTTGAATCCCTATAGAATGTTAACAAATAACAGATATAATTTTACATAGAAAATGTGTAATCAAAAACCATACATCGGGGCCAGTGAGATAGCTCCGCGGACTAAAGTGCCTGCTTAGGCAAGCATAGGGATCACAGTTCGATTCCTGGCACTACATGCCCTGCCAGCCATGCCCCAGGCCGAGCTGAGCCAGCCACATGAAAAAAGCCATACACATGAATTTCCTATCAAAAGCAGTTGGAGCACAAAAAAGGACAAATATCCAAATCTGAGAGAAAAGGTCTATCACCATAAATAATCCTGTTTTACATTTTGGAAGACCTGTACAACTGTGAGCATGAACACATTTAATACACCATGACATACTAACAATCGTTATAACCATATGAAAACTTTTCTTAATTTAGTTTCGTACCTGAGCATCTTTAATCAGAGAACCTTCTTGTGTAAAAGCTCAATCTTCTGATGATGACCAATGTAAACATATCACAACAATATTGTTTTTGAGAATTTTTTGGGGGTGTCTCCCATAAACCTATGGAAATTATTGGGGCTTCCTATTAAATTGGGTTTTTTTGGGGGGTAGCTTCTTATTCATGAACAAAGACTTGGATAACTTCCCAGGCAGCTGCTCCTTTATTCATCAAAGGGAGCATTGAGCAATAATTCCCCAAGCCTTAAGAGTTCCTATTTAGTTACCATAACAAATTTCTGATGACCTCCGAGAAAACCAATTTTTTCAATTTTGATACCATATCAACCAACTGGCAACCCAGGTGGAGGCATTTTTTAAAAATCTATAAAGAAAATTAAATCATAAACAAAATTATTCCACAATACCAAATAAAAAGAAGAGAAAAAACTGTTGAGCTCAAATAAAAAACAGCTGTTTATATAATGGGCAAACATACACACAGATGATCTGTACAGATTAGACAGACATATGTAGACAATTCACCTACAACACCAGAGTGCACTTGAAGTTGAATTCGCACTTTTGGCAAAGTTGAATTATAATAATCTTTTATAACTTTAGAAGTTTGTAATTATAGTCAGAATTTTTGTAGGTCAATTAGCAGAATGGCCTTATAATAAGAATATTAAAGGGATAAAATATTTTATCTATAATTAGTATTTTTTTGTATTTTATTTTGGCTTAAGAATACTGGCAAATTTTCATGTCCCTTTCTTTCCTGTAGCTTTCAGCTCAGTTAGGTCTATATACTCTGTCACCTACTCAAACCTTCAATTCCCATTTTTGCTTACCATCTTTTGGGCATCCAGGGTCAATTCCTTTAATTGACCCAGGTCAGCTCAAGCCCCATCCCTTTCTATCAGCAATGGTGCAGTTTCCAAGGCATCACTGCCACAGGACTGAGAGTCAGTCACAGTTTTTTTTGCCATAGTTTTATTGATAAACAAATAGCAATGAGACAGTTTCAAATCAAATCGGTAGGAGAGTTTCAATAATTAACACATTGCATACATTCTTCCTAGTGGTTAATTGCTGTACAAGATGCGGACTTGATATCCTATTTACAAACACCATTAGAACAAATCATTCTATTCATTAAGAGAATGTAACTATATATCTATCCTAACCACTTTCAATACATAGATACAAAATGGACATTCATCTGTATACCCTTTTTGTGTTAAGTTCGATTATTTGAATAT